AGGGGGAAAATGAAACTGGTTACGTGTCTGTGGCCAGGAATGAGAACCCTGGGTGTCAGGATGAAAAAGTGAAGTGCTTGAAAAACATTTTCTTACTGTGGGAAATATGTTGCCCAGGATTGAGGAGTGTGAACTATTTTCTTACCTCTGGATGATGAGCTCTTCTGTGTAGACCCTTGCGTTCCAACCTGCAATGACATTTCCAGGAATTCACTTTCCTCTCTCTGCCATTAAGTTTCTCTTCCTCATTAGTTTATTGCTCAAAGAGGATCGCTTCCAGGAAAGAATTAATATTTACTGAGCATCTCCAACAGTCTGTCGCTGTGCTAAGTACCTTTATGAATGGAATCGTTTTAACATTTAAAATTATTAGTTTCCTGGGTGAGAATATAGAAACTCAGGACATTTACTTACTACAGTTGAAGTCAGGCAATTAATATGTAAACGATTCAAGATTCAAAACCAGGCCTGTTTGACCCCAACTACTGAGAGATTTGCTCTTTGGAAGCTTTATAAAGGAAAAGGATCTGAGAAATCTCTTGATGGAAATTTAAACATTGGTAACATTTGCCTTTTTCTGCCTCATCTTATTAGCCATGGAGCCAATTCGACAGTTCCCTGAAAAAAACAAAAAGGCTCATGGAGCCTCTTTTATCCATGGGGCACCCATAAACCTTAGGAATGTGTATATCCGAAGTGAGGGGACCCTCTCAAAAATGCATAAGCAGTGACTGCCAATGAAAATGATTTGGATGAAAGAGAATCCATAGTCAAACAGAATGCAAAGTTGATTTTCAGTATAACAAGTTTTTGTTATTATGGCTAGTTTGTTTCTTTTTCAGTGTGTTTTTCTAGATTTGTTTTCATGAAATTCCTGCCCATAGTGGTGGCACTTTTTTTAGCCGAAGATCAGTGATCAGAGTGGACCACAAGAAAGACCATCAGGGGACACAGCTCTGACTCCTCTAAAATGGCCATCCCAAAAGAAAGCTCACTCTCCCATTGGTCCAGAGTCCAGTTGGATCTACAGGAGAAATATTTTATTCATTCAAACAACGCTGAGCACCTAAGTGCCAAGCCAGGCTGTTTACACAGTTTTCTGGTCTATCACAGCTACCCCAATCCAGTCATGAGTGCTGGAAGATATCAATAGTGGGTGTTAAATATTCTGGTGGAAGGATTCCCTGAGCCATAGAATAACCATAGCTTTTATTATGTGATTTGACTCCAGTAACAACCCTGTGAGGCATGCTTGATATCAACCAGGGTCCTCATTTTAAAGATGAACAAGTAAGGCTCTAGACAGGAAAACTGATGCATTTTAAAGCATGTAATTAGTGTATGCCCATGAAGAGACTTTCAGTCCATTTCTTTCCCACCTCTTCAACTAATCTTAAATCCATATGTGTAACATGTTTGGCTAGAAGAACTTTTTAGAAAGTTCTTGAGATTCTTGAGTCACCTGTGTGGCTCAGTCGGGTAAGTGTCTGACTCTTGATTTTGGCTCAGGTCATGATCTCACCGTTTGTGAGTTGGCCCCCACATCGGGCTCCTCATGGACAATGCAGAGCCTGCTTGGGATTCTCCCTCACGCTGTCTCTCTCTGCCCTTACCCACTCCCTCCCCCCTCAATATAAATAAATAAACATTAAAAGTTCTCAAGATTCTACTGGTCCATCACTTGGAGATGGTGAATGGTCTGGTCAGCTGGGTTCCTTGATGAGCTTTTATGTCACAGTTTCAGTGTGTCTTAGGGGACTCATTGTTCAGAATATGAAACATCTTTCAATCACATGCCCGTGTCCTGCTCAGCTCCATGTTTTCCATTAGTGTTTGATTTTCAGTCACTATCATGTGTAAGCCAGCATGCTGTGACCTGGAGGCACACTCTTGGGTGGATGGCACACTGAAGAACAGATTTTAAATCCTGCCTTCCACAGGTTTCCAAAAGCAAAATACCCAGTTTACATTCCCTCCAAAACAACACCCTGGGTGACAGGATGCGACCCAACAGATAATCTAAGTGAATGATCTTTTAGGAATGTTGCTTGTATCAGAGAAGTGTATTTGGCCAAACAATTTAATTAATTTGCTTTCCATCTTATATTTTTAATTTTTATTTTTATTCATAGTGGCATTAGTGACATTTCAGATTATTAAAATGGGGTAGATGTTGTCACTTTTAATTTGTGAAAATCTTATTTGAGCTAAAAAAATGTATGAGAAGGGAAAGAAATAACGTATTTTGAAATAATTTATTTATATGTGAATTTTTTTTGTATTTCTTAAGCGTAGAAACAGGGTATAGGCTAGAACAGGAAAGAACAGTCAGGAAGCAGAGTTTTCAGTTAACAGCCTTTTGGGCTAGTTTGTTTTTATTTTTTCATGATTTTCCATACTATGTGGAATTTTTTTCCAGTGATAAGAACAATATATGCCAGTCATACTAAATTCAGAAAATATAGAAATGAGGGCTAGCTGTTCTGCCTTGCTTTGTTTGAAATGCTGGCAACAAAGGACAGAGAATCTGTCGCGATACAGCTCGCTAAAAACCAATGCATACACACACCTTACCTTCTGCAACACTCAGAATATCTGCTCATCCCTCGACTGAATCTGCCTTTTATATTTAATAAATTTTATCTCACAGAAAATGTATTATATTTCCTTTCACCTAAAATATACCCATTTAAATTTGAGATTCTAAGGTATTTCTTCCTACAACAAGAGCTAATTCGTGGTACTGTCGATCCATTCTAAACCCACTAGCTTTTGGGCCATCATGTTGCCCATACATTCATATTGC